AGCACTCGCAATCGGAAAGCCGATTAATAAGTTCGCGGTAGATAAAGTATTATATCAACTGGCGAGTGGTTAAGTGAGAGAATTTTCATTAGCGACTGGCAATATTTCATAGATTTGTAGAAAGAGTAGGTGAAATATGAATCCTGCTAGCATGCGATCCTTCCCAGAAGAAATAGATAAATTTGTAAAGAAACTGATAATTGTTACGAGTAATAACTTGCAAATGACTTCAATTTACAACAAGGTCTAAACGGGTGTTAATAGTCATATAATATTTCTTTAGGTTTATAAAGTCATTTTTTAGATAATTACATCGCTTTTCATGCACATACACATTTTGCAGACGTTTATTTTTTATATTTAAATAAAATATTTTTGTCCAGTGGGTTATGAAATAAATGTTTAGTGTTGACTTCAGAATAACTTTCCAGCTCTATATTCTTACAAATAAAGGATACGGATTCGATTGAAGTGGAATACATTTTTTACGAAATAATTCTTGACATTTTTCTATTTCTACAGAATGGAATTACACGCAGTCTGATAATAAGCATAGATATAATTACTCATCTAACATCCTACTTCCTTTCTTTGACGCGAATTACATAACATGCAGTAGTTAAAACAATTATTTTCGTATGTTTTTAATTCACGGAAGGAATTAATGACAGGTTGACTTGAAAATTTATTTTCAGAATACATCCTAACGTGAGGAGTTGAGTATATTCAAAAACTTTAACAGTTCGAGAATTTTAAATGATTGATCTATTTGAGATGCCCTATGTATCAAAAATATTCATCTACGTAGTGAATAGCAGTATTAACACTAAATTTACGGAACGCGTCAATCAGACGCATATTGAATTTCATAAACATTATTTATTCGTGAATGTTTATGTGGATTTCGATTGAAGCAATTACAAGAATATGTATCGTAATCGTTTATTTTTGAACCTCTAGTTTCGAAGATGTAAATGAACGAATATCAATGTTTCTAGGAACAATAGAATAAACTGTACAATAAATGTCCGTAAATCTAGTGTTAACGATCCGATTCAAGGAAACGAGTACGTCATTCGATCATTAATTACTCGAAGAGTCACTTACGTAGAGATGCGTTAACAGTTGTTTCTATGAATTGCCGACTTACCTATAACAGAAAAATGTGCATTGTGTACAATATAATATTTATATTAACATGACAAATTTGTTTAAGTTGTTTGAATTTTTTAAAGTAATATACAACCATGATATTATTGTTTTGGCGTGAACAATAATTTATTTGATTGTTGAAAGAAAACTTTCTGTGTATGCTACGCCCCACTCACTGAATTAACGGCTACTGGTTATAGAATATACAATGGATGTTGAAAATCGTCGAGCATGACTATGAATTTCACTTCACTTTCATAATAAGAGCAGTTATGATTGTTGTTAATAATCAAGCGGCTTATGATTTTGCGCGAGTCGAAACTGATTTCTTGACGATTCGTATTCTACATCGTTGAGTTTAGTACTGACTTTCTCGGCGCTCTTGCACCCCCGAGGTAATGCAATTCGTCCCCTTCTGCAATGCATGGAAGGGGAACAATCGCGGGAGTGGGTGCAAGAGGCTGCTGAGTTTTTTGGAAAAAGCAATCTGCCAACGGCGGAAGGTCCCGCTACCTTGGGCCTATGTGCAAGTGCCCATGCGCGCGAGTGATCCTTGCCGTTGCGTAAAAATTTGCCTGGTTTATGACTAGTATTTTCGAATTAGGCGGCAATTGCAAATCCGACCATTATTACGAGCTGTAAGCTCTGGCTTACTGCTCTTAACGCTCTAACGTTCTCACCCGTGTCATAAACCAGGCCCATACGAAATCATGATGAGACCATCTTGTTCCGCAACGGAACCATTGTTACGCCGTAACAGTTATAACCATATGTTTAAAATTATCTACTTTATTTTTTATTTGGTATAAGACCATGTACTTCGTATAAAAAAATCCAAATTCATTTAAGTGGAGACAAGTATAAAAATACAATATACTGAAACATGATGGATGTGTGATCATTCATTAATATATTTGCTCTTTGGATGAACAAATCTACTTTCTAGTGCAGTTTCTTTAAAAATCCATTCCTTATCAATACATATATCGTTTAATATATTTTAAAGAACTGCTCTATACTTCCGTTTCTATTATCGCCACACTGTAATCGATAATACCTTGAAATCTCTATCTATCAACTATCAGTAAGTTGTTGCAGATACAGTTGTGAAAAAGCTCAAAAATTCTGTGTCATTACTAATACTAGAAAATTTCCTTCTCTTAGCACAGCAGAATTTTAATTTTCAATAAATAAGGGACTTCTAATGTTACTTCTGTAATTCGAAAGTACAGATATTTAAAAAATGTAAAGAATTATTTCTGTAGAAATAAATCGCCAAATGCGACCAATTGAGATACACTGTATAATCCACATGATTGCGTACATCTCTGCAATGTAGAAAATGCAAGCTTAAACGTAGTATATTGCAAGAGTGTTTAAAAATTATTACAAATTTCTGTCATTTTGTTATGTAGTATTGTAAATTACGAATTTAAACAATTGTTTTATTTTAAATTATTTCTCTAAATGATTGCTTTTCATTGATCTATAACCATTTTCATTTGTAACAGGTATAATAAGTAAATTGGACCACTTTAAAGATGCTGGAATAGGAGCAATTTGGCTTTCGCCAATTAATCGAAGTCCTATGGTAGACATGGGTTATGACATAGCAGATTTCAAGGATGTCGATCCGACATTTGGTACACTATCCGATTTGGATGACCTACTGAAGAAAGCGCATGACCTTGGCTTAAAGGTAACAGTTACACAATACGCGTATTAACACAAGAACTACCGTATCAATCAAAGTTACTGATTTCGATTTTTTCTTCCGCAATTATTGATATCTTAAAAGCAAAGAATATTCGAAATGATCTTGAAAACGAATAGTTTCACGTGAACGTTATAACGAATGTCTGAAGAAACTGAAAATAATCAATTGTTACAATCTTTATAGAGATCACATATTAGTTGTATTAAATGCTCGGTAGTTCTAGTGTTACATATTTATTACGCATTGAGCAATTATAAATGTTATTATGTTCCATGTTTGTTGCATACTTCGAATGAAAAGTAAGCGTTCAATCCATTACTCAGAGGGTAATTATAACTAACGTCATCGTTGTGTCTATAATGGTTTGAATTAGTCTGTTTACAATCTTAAATATGCAAACGTTAGCACATTTTCGACGTGTAATTTATCCCCTTGTTATCGTTCATAATATTCCTGTAAAGGAAGTTAACTATTCCGATGTCAGAGTTACGTGTTCGAACGTAGTCATATCTTGTGGAAAAAGAACACGGAATTTATGGGGGTATTCTAGTTTTGAATGCTGTTTTTCAAGTAATATTTAAGATTTTTTTGAAAAGTGAAACTTTTTGCATTTGGTTTTGGATAATATGTTTATAGGTATTTGAATACACATATTATTTTTTTTAAATAAGTAAAATTACATGAGTTATGTTGTGCTGTTACTTTTAAGAAAAGTTTTCGACTGTTGCCATGATTTTAAGTTCCTGCTAACTTGAGACAAAAAAATTAAAAAGCACCCTGTTGTATGAACGTCTATAGACTGAACCACAGAGGAACAAGTACTTTGACGATTAAAAAGATGGCAACACTTTAAAGCTTGAATGTCAAATCTTCCGTTATTTATTGTTCTTCATCGCGCTAAAAAAAAATAAGAAAGAATTGTTGGAATTTAAAAATTGAAGGTTGGATCATAGCGGCATATATGCTGAAAGTCCTCTATGAATTTTGCGTCAAAAACTGGAGACATCGTGGCAACAGTTTCAATAAATTTGGATTCGAGAAAAACAGGTTTTTACGAAAATGGTTTTTCCTTGGTTTCCAGGTTATTCTGGATCTCGTCCCTAATCATACATCCGACCTGCATTACTGGTTTCAAATGAGTAGAAGAAAGAAGGGAAAATATTCTGATTATTATGTGTGGCACGATGGAAAGTGTGCTGATACGAATGATGCAAAGTGTTTGCCCAATAATTGGCTCAGTGTGTTTGGCAAGAGTGGATGGACATACGACCAAGACAGAAAACAGTATTATTATCATCAATTCTACTCGCAACAACCCGATTTGAATTACAATAATCCAGACGTACAAAGGGAAATGAAGGTATGGTTTTATTTAAATTTATAAATTTCATTCATTTTATTTACGGAGAACTTTTATTTACGGAGAAAAGGAACTTTTTACCATTATTGCTTGCAATGGTATAGTCATCCTATGTTATTATAAAAAAAAGGAGGCAACAATGAAACCGCATATGGAATTGAATTTCCTCTGAATTACTTTGATTAGTTGCAACTTGAACACTTGATCGATGATAAAGAAACCAATCATGATATCTATTCTTTTACAAAATAAACTAACTTTTCAAGTAATTAAATGAAATTGTTACATAAGTAAGATTTCTGTGATTTTAAAACAGTAGGGCAAGCATTTAATTAATTATTGTGTTTGTTTATAAACAACAAATCAATTACAATTGGCTACGTCGCATAAAAAGTCTTATCTGCAAATATGTTTTGGCGGTATTGTTGTGAAAATGACACTAAATAGAATCCTCAGCCAGAAATATGGACCGTTAAAGGGTTGTCGAAAATCTTATTTCTTCGTGACTTCACCAAAATGATTGATTTTCATTCGAAAATTATATGAACGTTTGACTAATGTGTTAGAATACTTTCAGATTTTTACAATATTCACGATAATAAAAGATCAAACCTGACCATAAAAGGTTCATATTGTCAGCTACGAGGGTGAAAAACTATACTGCCGTTAAAGAGTTAAACATTTTAATTTGAACTTTATTCATATTGTAAATTGAAGTTTTCATGGTGAGGCTTGCAGTCTTTTTCGCAGATTTCATAAACGATTTAATACCCTCGACAATTTTTGGGATCGAATAACTGGTATAGTTGATTCACGGTGTTACTTTCTGTTGTAGGAGGTGATCAGGTATTGGCTGAATAGAGGAATGGACGGATTCCGTATCGACGCGGTACCGCATATCTTTGAGAACAATATAACACAAGATGAACCTATAAGTAATCATCCCACTGCTAAGCCCGATGAACACAATTATTTAAGTCATATTCTAACGAAAGATCAACCACAAACCTACGAGTTGATAAAGAGCTGGCGAGACTACGTTGATGAATACGCGAACCAAAATAACCGGGATGAAATTGTGAGCACAAAGAGAACCTTCTTCCCTCTAAACGGATACCCTAATTATTCTCTTACCAAGTAGAATTATTTCTTATTAAATTCAATTGAAGATGAAAGAATTCATTGAAGTAACGAACATTTTGAAATATCGTTAAACACATTCAACACTCGGCTAAAGTTTTTGTTCGTACAATCTTGGAATGTTAATATAAAGCTTGTAATTAGATTTTAATACAAATTTTATTAACACATTGAATGCCATGAGGGTCACCGATGATCTCCAACCAAATCGAATTACTATAGTTCACTCAATTAAACGACAATTATTTAGAAACACGTCTATATCATAAATAATGCTACATAATGCGGTGACATTCAGCTAGATGAGCTTGCAATAATAATAACGCAACTCGATCAAATGATTTAATATTACATTTTTTCATTGTGTGTATTTCGCTTTACGAAATCGTGCAGCGTTCAACGTGTTAATAGTGTCGTATAAATATTCATGATGTTAAGAATGACAGACGTTTAATGATATGATATAGATACTGATGACAGAGGCGTACACCAACCTAAATAATACATTAAAGTATTACAACTTTGGGTCTCACATTCCGTTCAATTTCAAATATATCACTGAAGCAAATGCCAATTCCAATATCACACGTTTCAAGGAGATTGCGGATGATTGGATAAGTGGCATGCCAGCAGGTTCTACAGCGAATTGGGTGGTACGTAAATATCAGTACGTGTATATTAATAACTTAGATAGAGTAATTCCGGGTGAAATGGCTCAAACTCATTAAAACTGTTAAAAATTTTCAATTTCTTCCAGTGGTACACTGTATCTTGTATAGAGATCTATTTACTTATTCTTCTTATATAGGTATATTTATTTACATAAAGATATTTCATTTGTTGTTAGGTATTAATAATATTTGTGATGCATCGGTTCTATTGAAAAAAACTGGGCCACCTCTCTCTGAATTACCGTATCTAATCACATCGGCGTAAAAATTATTTCAGCTGAAATAAAAGCTGTTCCTATTTCGAGGAAAATGCGGGAAGAAACATTTTCATTTTACATTAAACTATAGTAAATTATTTCGGAAAGACACGGAACATCTAAATCTACGCTACAAATTTCGAAAATATTTACGATACGTTTTGAACCAGTTACCAACAAAATAAAATGTTTAAACACGATGAAAACTTCGGATTCTGAATTATTTATGAAGAAAGTGAAAAGATGTTTTCAACATCTACCTGATATTTACGTCGCCAGCGATATATCATGAAATGATAAAAATAAGATCCTTACTTTCTATTTTCAAATAAAACATCGTTGAACTGTTAAAAGAAATGTTTGAACATCGTTCTATCATTATTATACGATGCGATGTTTTTGCAAAAATTGTTCTGTCAGTATACAACAACAAAATTGGCGTTCGCATACTCTAACTCTTATTTCATTATTTCACTAGTTCTTCAATATTAGATTAACGTCAATTAACTGTGTTCTACGAGTATACACGTTATCTTAAAACTCAAAATCATACTTATTTTTTCAACAACGAATTATTTAATTTTTCAGATAAAACTGTAATTCTCCTTCATTTTGCTTTAGCTTTTCGTTAGAATACACTTGAGGTGTATTATCCCTACGTTTGACGAGTACACACTTCATTTTTTCATTTTATTGCGCGCACAATAAGAGATTTTCGAGACTAAATTCCACAGTTAATAGGTTAATATACGTGTTTCCATAGATGGGTAATCACGATAGAAATCGTGTTGAGTCCCGTTATCCTGGGAAAGGAGAACATATGATAATGTTGAGCATGATTTTACCTGGCGTGGCTGTGACTTATTATGGCGAAGAAATTGGCATGCAAGATAATACAAACTTCACTTTCTCTGATTTCCGTGACGGTTGTCGTACACCGATGCAATGGGATGACAGTTCACTTGCAGGTGAGCAGAAATTCGTTTAAAATTTTATTCTATTCTGTGAAAGAGAGTGTAAGATGTTTCTGTAAAATTGAATGGATTGAAAAAAAACAAGAACTGTATAAATATGCATATAAATATTAAAATATTATTAATCTTCTAAATACAGAAACTTTCATTGACATTCAGAGAAGATCATGTTTTCCAGTGGCTTGCATAGCTTTCACGATTCTAACATTTGCAAATGAGCAAATATTATTTCGAATTCCATTGACGCTTCATTTAAATGGAGATAACATTTTTCATTGAACTCGAATTATTATTTAGCCTACAATACGCAAACAAGTTTGATCTTGTCTAAATTGCTCTTGTACTCAATTATGAATAGTACAGTCTTTATCGTTAACAAGGCCGAGCATTTTCTATGACAATTTGTTGTACATATATGAGAGTATCAATTGTTTAGTGATATGTGGATAAGTGATTTATTGACAAGCAGGATGACACTTGGGTTGTTATGTTTTTCCTTTGAAAATCGTTAAAATATGAAAAAAAGATTTTATTTTTGTTACTTTTAGTGAAATAATTTGGGGGATAAAACAAAGGGTTAAATTAAACACAGTGATTTCGTGATAAAATAAACACTTTTCAATCTGCATGCGGGCAGTACTGGAATACGAAGGGTTAAGAAATATGATGATATTTGTACAACATCAGTAATGCATTCGTAAGACCTAGGCATTGCGTTTGACACCAGATTTGTAAACATTTATTTACACTTTATTCTATTCTTTCCACAAAATAAATGTTCACTGACATGGATCACCGAAATTAGACCTTTGAAAACAGATAATTAGGATACGTATTCAAACTCGACATATTGAAAATTATTGCATTTACCGTTAATAGTTACAAATTGTTAATAACAGTTAATAATCACCGATTCGCGTGATAAAATCTTATAAATTGCTCACTTGAACCTTGATATTTGGTTATTATTTAACAAGCCAATAACTGTTTTATCATCACTAATATCCGTGTTTTCATGACAGGTTTCACTAGCGGCAATAGCACGTGGCTTCCCGTACACAGTAATTATTTAACCCTAAATTTGAAGAAGGAAAAGGAAGACGCTAATTCTCATTACAAAGTTTACACCAGTTTGGTGGCATTGCGAAAGTCGTCGAACGCGTTGAAAGAGGGTGATGTACACACGGATGTACTGGATAACGATGTATTAGCCGTCAGGCGCAGTGCGAGCGACGAAATAGTTACACTGTTGTTAAACTTCAAGAACGACAGCGTTAATGTAAAACTATCGGATTTATTGAAGAAAAAACACACGGAAGTGAAATTGAGCAGCGTAGGTTCTTCAGTGGCAGCGAAGTAAGTAAATAAAATTATTACCGTAAGATATTCACATACATTGTATGGCAGATCGACGTGCCCGCGACCAGCGCGCATTTCATTTGTTTTAAGCGAGACATGGTCTGGAATGAAACGTGTTATTCATAACTGCCCGTTATTTAATTATGTAAGCCTATTACACACATTACAGAACTGTACAGAACAGAGTCTATTCAAGCAAATCCTTGTAATTGTAATTTTTTATCCTGACAAAAAAATAACTTTCATTTTCGTCGAGAGCGGTTAAAAAAAAGTGTTGAAAGCTTTGTATTACGTTACAAATGAAATAAGGGCGTTCAGAGTTGACCATTCAATGAACTAATCAACAATGTTTGCACTGCTCTTGATTACAATAACCTCGGTTTCTTTAGAATACGTAAATAGTCCCTGAATCGGTTTATTCGCTAGATCTGTATTACAAAGAAATAAAACTTGTTTTACCCGAAAAATCGAACGGATATTTGATGCTTAACTTTCAATTTGTAACATAATATCATGTTTAATAATCATTTAATCTTTATTTTCCAGTGCGATCGTAAACTTGGATTCTTTCACTCTCCCAAGATACGCATCTGTAGTTTTAGTCAGCGGAGCGAGTACAGTCGGATTCTCTCTGATCTCGGTTTTATTATTAGCGGCTATTTCATTGTTCCGGTTATAAAGGTAAAAAATTCCCAATATTTGTGTTCCTCCTACTGTTAAATTTATATGATATTAATTTAACGTTAAGTTCGTGTCATATGATTCTTTTCACAAGTATGCTTGATGAAACCACTTTGTCGTTATCGTTTACTAGAAAAAGAAAAGAACATTTAATCTATATTTGCGCGTACTCTGAAAGCTAACGATTGGTGATATTAGAAATGTAATATATAATTAGTGTTCGAGAAAAATAAATAACACTTAGATTTGTCTAATTCGGCTTGAAATTTCCATTGCGAGTCTAACACGGTGTTATAGTGCGAGGAATAAATTAATGAACGGTCAATCTATCTAATATATAAATAATGATTATTTATGTATATTTACGTGTCTCAAACGCGAACGTGTATCTTGTTAAGAATTACAATGTATTTAAAAAAGAGTATAAAAATCTTGTTTTCTATTATATCGTTTAGTATACTGCGAATTTGCGAATACTTATGTACGTTACTTATGGTACAACTGGATAGGGACTGAATCTATGTCAAAAGATATGTCGAATATATAGAATAAAAATTTTTCATTTGAGACTTCGTTTTCGAAAAAATCGACTTTAAAACTATTTTCGGTATATACAGGTATACTCGACCAAGTCTCAATTCAACGGATATGTAGATTATCCTTGTCCGTGTTAATAATCGTTCTTAATAGTTTTATATTATTTTAATATTTATTTTCTGATTATTTTTATACTTTATTCGACGAGTGTAGAAGTAAAGCAACAGCAATAGAAAAAAAATGATAACACCGATGATGTTTACAAATACGACAGTGGTTTTCATGCATAAGGACAATCTAAGTACAATGATATCTGTTTAGTTGAGACTTGGTCGAGTATACGTGTATATACCCAATATAGTTTTAAAGTCGATTTTTTCGAAAACGAAGTATCAAATGAAAAACTTTTATTCTATATTTTCGACATATCCTTTGACATAGATTCAACCTCCATCTAGATGTACCATCAGTTACATAACACCTAGTATATCATAGCATTTGGATAAAATAATCGAAAATACGGCGTTCAAATCAATTCTTTGTAACGGTAGGCTTTAAAAGGAACATTAGACAGATTACCTCTATTTGCAATTATTTATTATAAAACAGTGTACCAAGATAATAAATTCATAATAAATTACTGTAAAAAGCATCTTTATTTGAGTATTTGGATTACGCCCCTCTGTTTTCGTTAACATTAAAAAATGTAATATTGCATACATATGCTGAGTCGTCTAATTTTAGAAACAACACCTTATATTGCAATGAGGTAATATTTTCTTCATATTTTCAGATGGAGAGCTTGAATCATTTTAAATAACCAAACAGCTAATATTTATTATTTCAGATTAACATTAGGTTTGCAGGCATTTATTGTACAGTTTATTCTATTCTTTCTAGAAAATTTAATGTTCAGTCATTTAAATCGTCTAAATTAGCTATTTAATTTGTTAGCTGTGGAATTTAGTTTTAAAAATCTGTCCTTTTGTGAGCGAGAAAATCAAAAAATGAAGCGTGTACCTGTCAAATGCAGAGCGAGTGCACCTAGGATATATTTTAATGCAAAACCGAAACAAAATAAAGAAGAATTAAACGTTCATCTGAAAAAATAAAGAATTCTTCGTTGAACAAATTTGTATTATTTGAAGCTTTAAGATGGTGTGTATACTCGTCACAAGCAATTAACTGTTTAAAAACAGATAATTAGGGCGCAAATTCGTCTAATTAGATGAATCAAAATCGGCGTGTACATTTACCAAATAATGTCTACAAAATTCACTATGCGTTAAACTAGTGCATTCCGTAAACCTGGTGCTAACACGCATGTTGCTGCAAAAGTTTCAGGAATCCGCTATCATTTAACTTGTTATTTTCGTAAAGCTTTGCATTTATAAGTTTAGAAAATGCCGACGGAACTTAATGGAAAATATATTGATAGTTTTTATAAAAACAACCAAACCATTACTACAAACTTATTCTTGGCTTTTGTCATCCTATCTCGAAACTTTTACAGCAACCAACGTAACACGATGACTGGAAATTTAAATATCTAATAGACAATCTGAATTATCAAATGTTCTGTGTATTTAGTAGGACCAAGCAACGAATTTCCGTGTTAGGAGCCGCAAATGCTTCACTACCAGTTAGTGGGTTCTCTCACTAGACGGTTGGCTGGCCACCCTTACTGTGTTTCAGCTGACATTGTCATATACACGTATACGTACACCTAGGTAACACACACATGACTCGTACCACAGTTGACGTCTGATAAAAAGAGACACAGAAAGATGACAAATACAGACCGATAGGTCAATGAAGTAGAGATACGGAGGGGGCTATTCTCCTATACATCAGCAAAGCAAGAAAGTAAAGGAGGGTGCCGCAGAGCTCCAGTTCGTCACCCCAGGGTATGACAGGATGTATTTTTGGCGTGAATGCTTGTAGCTCAGAACAATCTCACAGATAAAATGTCATAAGTAATTGAAAATGTCATTTCATTAATCGTACGTTTGTAATATTTCTTTTTTTTGTGGCAAATGAATTAATTTGCAATCGATCCATTATTTCTGATCGGATGATAAGCAAATGTGGTGACAGTAATGATCTTGTTGAGAGCAACACTCTTCGTGTTTCTTCGCATACCAATCTCAATTAGGTTCCGGCTTTAACCGATTTGCTTCATGTTTAAATACCCTCGCAAGTGTCAGTGGAATCTGATTTAAATAGCCTAGTAGTGGGATAGCGTACTTAGCAGCTTCATAACATTTTTAAACAATCATGTAAAAACAACCAGTATACATTTTGATCCGATTATATGATTATATATGATTATACATGCTTATATGTGATTATATATGATTACATGATAGTATGATTTATGTAGTAAAAATCTTGATCCAAGTACAACTCGTCATATGATGCGATTGGGATAAGTGTCTTTAACACTAAAACTACTGAGCAGTTAAATTGACTTTTAGAAATTCTTCTGTAGAAACTTCAAGAATTCAGTTTCAATATTGTTAAATCAATTTCTTTAATAATTTCTCAGAGAAACATCTCTTATCTTTTTAATAATTGCAGAAAGAAGAAATCAGCATGGATCATTTTGACCAGTCTCGGAGTTTAGTGTTAACTACCTGAGAGGTAAACGTCAAGTGCACTATGATTCAAAAGTTTTTTGGAGTCGGGATTCGGATACATTTCCAGTTTCCTTATATAATTTATACATTTATAACATAACCAATAATATTTCTTTAGTAAGGTGCAATATGTTCATAATATGTCAGTCACTATAGGTACTCGACAACCTTTCCCATAGCAGTTTGTTATTTACTTCAAGTAGATGAAGTTTTATATTAAACATATAGTTACTGATTTATAATGTCATACGTGTAAATCAAATTGCACGTAGATTTATCTTGCAAATATCACGTCATATGAATACGAAATTAGTCTCCATGGCTTATGATTTTCAGATAATTGCCGAACACATAGATTGTATTCTAGTGCAGGTGGCTGTCTGATGCAAACGCATTAATTACTGCGAGTGATAATGCGACCTCATATTATAAGGAAACGAAACACCTTTAGGTGCAGGGTTCGAAACATTTTGGATAAATATTATTAAAGATCACTTTAGATATTATTTTAAATTAATAATACTATGATTGCAAATTAATTCGTCCAACTCTTTGGGCAATTTGTAAACTCATAATATTGATTGTAATTTTAATAGATATCCGCTAACACGAAAATATATTTAATCAACTTCCGGTATTCACTGTACAGAGGAAAAAGACAATATAAATGGCTGGTTTAAAATTGAAATATTGGAAGTAATAACAAAAACATGTTTAAATGTTGATAATAATGATAAATAATAATGTCCATAGAATAATGTTTTGAGAAAGAGAGTTCAATTATCGGTTGTAATGAAGGCACAAGGTTCGAAAGTATCAAATGTTCGAATTTAAAAATTTGAAGCTTTGGATTTAGCATCAAAAGCACTACCAAGATCATTCATTAAATTTTTGGTGACAAAAACAGTGTTAAATTTTGAAGATTAGTGTTATTAGATTAAAACTTTCTCTTGTACAAAAATGTTGAGGGAAGAACACAATGACAGTTTTATAGATGATATTGAACTGTGGAAGTTGTCATTGAAAAAAATGCGAGACCTACTAGCTGTGGAGTTCACGTATCTTCGAAATACATTACAACGTTTCTCGTCATTCATATAGAACCACATTGCACGTACACAAGTCACAGACACGATGTCGTTTCTCTTTCATCATTGTACACCTCGTGAGTTCACTTTAAAATTCAACAGAACAAAAGTAAATCAAATGTAAGTAACATTTTCTGCTAGAGAATTGGCCATATTAACTCTTGACGATCGACAGTGATTTAGTATCCTTCACCTCATCTATAAAGCAATAAAATAGTATTCTCCAAATATAAGGAAAACTTGCTATATTAAAATGTTGCCTTAAATATACAAATTATATTATAATAATTAAAAAGTAGTAAAAAATGATAATGGGCTATTGAATTTATAAGAGAAGTATTATCTTTCTCCTGGGAAAATGTTTATGAAAGTGATATAAATGAAACAATAATTAAATAATAATTATTTATACAAACAATTATCTGTAACAAAATTGCTCTTCGTACCTAATTATAATTTTTAAAGTATTCATACTTTACTTAATGTATTTCGGTACCAGTTCAAAGTTTTTGTAATAATTGAACAAAGTCCTTACTTTTCGAGCAATAACGAAACATCGAGCGAAAAAAATTCGCGAAACTGATGAATGAGACAATTCTAATATTACGTAGTTTTTATTGATTGTACGCAGACATTTTGAAATGTAACCTGTTTCCAAATAATATATGCATGCGTGTCAATATGAAAATATATGTTGTACGAAGTCTGTAATTTTATTAAACACCTGTTGCATGTAATTCCAAATTCACTAAATAAGATTAAACGATGCTCTGAAAGTGACAGACGATTAGCAATTCTTTGCATTAGTATTAAGAATTTTATTTATTATATATTATTGTATATTAATTTAATAAATATATATAATTTCATTACATACATTTATTTGTTATTTATTATTTACCATATACATATTATATTAATTTACTTATTTATGATATATTATCCTATTTTCGCGTTACCATGCTCCTGTACTCGATCGATCGCAACAGAGATTTATATCTCTTGTGTTACACCTGCTGAGCTTATTGGTCAATACATGAACGAATTGAAACCCCAACAGAAGTTGCGATCGTTAGTTCTCGGCATTGGAATTTAGCCAAACCATGAAGATAAATTCACTTGCAAAGTGGCTTCATATTACTCCTTGCATTTTCACTTCAGGTTGCTTTCTAACAAAGAAAAAATAGGATACACGACGCCCTTAAGATCTTTACATAATAGAAAAGAAGGTGTTCTTCGTATAAATGGAAACTAAAACTACAAAATGAACATTTTTCAGTTAGAATACTATATTTCCAAATAAATCATTTAACATACTATTTACTGGTTTTATTTGTAAATATTGGAAACTTAGAATGTTGTTATTTGCATATTACCAATTCTTTACATAGAACTTATCTCTAGGATCTTCTGAGTAACCTATTACGTTTTTGGTGTGAAGTTACTACTACAACAAAGAACTATCCATGCGCATTATAATTTCACTTTCGCTATGCAAGATTTATGTTACTGTTACTATTTAACCTCTCTGAACTTAATCTACAAACACTGCAAGCTAAAAATTCACCTTTGTCCATTTTATTATTAGAATTCTAAATTATTAAAGCTATGTTGGCAATGTGAGTGCCAGTGTATTGCACCGATGCTGTAAAATTGTTGTCTGAGAAAGCAATTTGATTACGTTACACAATACTTCTCACAAAGTAGTTAATTTTATGCTACACCATAGATATTTACAATCTATTATCATCTTCTTCTACGAAGATCATGGCTTGTGAAAAACTAGTGGCCATTTTAAAATCATAATATGCATTTTTTGGTCGATTCTTCGAAATATATATATTATAAAATTGAAAGGATAGTATGTTCTTTATTATTCTTATTGTAGATTTTCATTTTTATTGCTGTTATTTTTATTCGTACAT